TGCTGTTAACCTTGGCCCACTGATCCAGTCTGTCCAGGTCCCTCTGCAGTGCCCTTCTCCCCTCTGGCAGACCAACACTCCCTCCCAGCTTGGTGTTGTCTGCAAACTTACTGAGGGTGCACTCAATCCCCTTATCAAGATCATCAGTGAAGATGTTAAACAGAAGCGGCCCCAATACTGAGCCTTGGGGGACATTGCTTGTGACCGGCCACCAACTAGATTCGACTCCATTGACCACGACTCTTTGGGCCCGGCCATCCAACCAGTGCTTCATCCATCCAGAATGTACACCCATGCAGACCATGGGCAGCCAGTTTCTCCACGAGAATGTTATGGGGGACAGTGTCAAAGGCCTTACTGAATTCCAGGTAGACCGCATCAACAGCTTGACCCTCATCCACTAATTGGGCCACCTTGTCATAGAATGAAATCAGGTTCGTCAGACAGGATCTACCATTCATAAACCCATGCTGACTGGGCCTGATCCCCTGGTTGACCTTTAATTGGTCCATGATGGTTTCCGAGATTATTTGTTCCATAACCTTCCTGGGCACTGAGGTGAGACTGACAGGCCTGTAGCTACCAGGATGATCTTTCCGGCCCTTTTTGAAGATGGGCATCACATTTGCCAGTTTCCAATCCACCGGGACATCCCCGCATCAATTGCAAGAACTCAAAAGCAAATGATATAAGCGATGGCAACAAGGCTCCCATTGTGTCTGATGTAGAATACACACGCCTGAGCACAGACAAGTTTCCAGCTAATTGCCTGACTTCACTAGAAGAGCATATTCTGACTTCTGAGGTAAGCAAGGACAATAAAACCAGTCGTTTTAGAATGCATCTGAACTGTAACAGACAACAAACGCAAAATCTCACATAATCTCCCAAACTGCCAAGTACTTTGAAGAGTGTTCATTAAATACAACTTACTTGTTCTTCCAATCTAGAATTCTTGTCTAAAATCTGCAGCATGTGTTCCCGCAGGGCACCATTTTCATGTTCAGCAAGTTTCCCTCTTTTCACCTTAGTGAGGCAGAAGGGGAGTGAAAAAACAAAACAATCAGACACACAGATTTTTGAAACTGGTGGTTAAAAGATTTATTGATGTCAGGATTTAAAATGTCCCCTCTGTGCATTGAAAGTGAAGTCCTGGTTCTCTGCTGTAGCATCTTACTAGAAATGGTTGTAAAAGAAGTAAAAATGATTATCTTGATTAACTACTCTGGTTTGGGAGACAAATTTCTAGCACAAGTAATGATCTATAAAACATTACCTTTATAAGACAGCCATACTGTTTATATGGGCAGTCCACTTCAGTCTCAGGACACACAGTATGATGCTTTTCAATCTGCATATATTAACAAAGAAACTTGCAATGAAATAAATATTAAGTACCTTATTGCACTGATAAAATCTAAATACTTGCATAAGGAGTGAACAGAAGCCAATGTCATGGCTGATTGCACAAAGAGGAAAATGAATATTCAGAGTCAATAAGCAAGACAGGTATCTTCCCATACTGCAATACCAGTGCTTTGCAGTGACCAAACACCTCACTTGTCAGATGGGACATACATCACATGTAGGATCAAACAAAGAAAATACTTAGAGTGCTGAAGTTTTATTGGTGTGAGCCAATGTATTATGTGATGTGAGTTTTAGTTTTCAGTGAAATGTGTGATTTGCTGAATTGTTGCATGTGAAAAAAAGTCCTCGTACCTCCTTTTTCAGAATTATCTGTGAACAGTTTTGGACACAAGGCATGGGATAATCAGGACAGTCATTTTCCTCATGATTCTGGGGAAAAAGAAAAACAAGGCAATGGTTTGCATTTTTGTAAAACAGTATACATAGAAGTAGTTATTAATTGTGGCATGCAAAAAGTAATCATACACATACACACACAAGCCCCACATTACGTTTTTAAGAGAGTAAGAGTAACTGGTATTACTTAAAGCATTCTCGTTTTTATTATGCTTTCTCCTCCAGCTACTCAGCCAAGTTTTATTTCATGAGTGGTAAAACCCCACTGCAATGCTGGAAATGTTTCACTCAGCAATATTAAGAGGCAAATATATGGATGGATTCCAGGGAATGTCTTATAATCTTACCTTTATGTTAATTAACACCACATATTTATTACAGTACTGACACATTTCTTCTCGAAATTTACAGTGCTGATTCAAATGATCTTTCAAATCTTTCCGAAGGATTTGATCACAACATTCATCATTAGTGCATTGCACGCTTTCAAACAAACACTGCTGAAGATGTTCCTGCAACACATAAAAGCAAATTAAACCCCAGTGTGACACACAGCAACATCTGGCAGTCTGGTGACACTCAAAATTCTGAAAATTTGAGGAGTCCTCTAGAGGATTTCAACTTTTCACTCAAATAGGCCAAAATGGCCAGCACGTCTTAGCAAGTTTTCCAGAATCAAGCATCTCATTATGCCTAAGTGTACAGAAATCAAGTACAGATGCTGTGGATATAGTAAGGCCATCTCTGTGCTGTCATGGCTCTGGACTTTTGCTGACCTCAGGCTCTGCTGAGCAGCAAGGAGGTGAGGTTAGGCTGAGCACCAACCTGCTCACCTGAATTGGGTCTCTTTCCCCAGTTCCACATCACCCTGCACAGACTTCTGATGTGAGTTATCCTTGCTATTTTTATAATATTTAAATTTCCATATCAATATTTTTTCATTATTATATAGAAAACCTTCACTACAGTCCTCCTGAACTTGCAAAATGACAGATATATTCACAGCCATATAAAGCAAATGGTTCTTAACAAACAAATAAGGTGCAGCTGGTATAAGCTTACAGCCATGACATAGTATTTGTTACTCAGTGTATAACTAAGACACAGACTATGTACTCAAGCCACATTGCTACAGCGACAAAAGTCTGAAGACAACCACTGAAATTTAGTTTGTGACAGAAAGTTCACATGAAAATCAGAGGCTTAGAATGTGATTGAGCCAACTAACCTGATACCGCCCCAGAATTATTTTTGAATTGCAGTCGGGGAAGTTTTTGCAGAACACATACAAGTTGAGAACTTCTCTTTTACAACAGTTGTCTTTGAATACCTGTAAAGGAATGGTATGGCAATGATGCTCAGACATCCTGTCTATAGACTCTGAGAAACAGCTGTGTAAGCAGAAGCAAGTGAGCTCCCTGAGCAAACTTCCAGTCTTATTTAGGGATCTTCCTACACAGAGCATTATACAGCTGCTCTGTGCTGCACTACTGTCATAACATTTCCACAGGGCAGCAGGCAGTGAGTGAAAAACAAAATCACAAAGACAGTCTGATTACAATTTTGTCTGAGGAGCAGAAGAGGGAGGAGATATTTCATTTTGCTGGGAAATTCATTCTGGCAGGATCAAGTAGGCAGCATACTTTCAAGCCTTGGCATATAAACAAGAACAGATGAATCCATTACAAATATCAGGTAGATTGCAAAATAAGCGGCACAAACTTACCTTTTCCTCTAAAAAGTTACCAAAAAGCAAATAAATCTGCAGGGTTAATGATATATAATAGAAATAGTTAAGACAGCAAATTATAACCAAGTCAAAAATTAAAGACAAACAACAAGATCCCCCCAGAAGACAGGGGATTAAAAAGTACGCCTATAAACTCTCATGGTAAAATAACCTATAAAAATCCACCATAAAAAATATCAAAAAACATGAGAAGATTTAAAACTCTGTGAAACTATTTGACAGTTTACTGGAAATACAGAGGATTAAACTGAAATAACTTTAGAATGTGAAGTATAAAATGAAGTTTTAGCTGTACATCCAAATCTTCTTTTCTTCACTTTCTATCAGCATTGCTTCATAAGACAAAAGCTGTTCCACCTCAGGGGACAAAAAGGCTCAGATCCGCCTTGTTCTCAGCTGGCCTGCTTTTTTTCATGCAGGTGATCTCTGCATGCACAGCCACTTACCTCGTGCATTTTTATTGTTTCTTTGTCGACAGGACATGTAGGTACTGCATTCAGTCCTCTAGATTAAAAGAAAAGTTGTGTTAACCCGTAGAAGATTTGATTTAGTTTCCAAGATTGGGTTACGCTAGAATTCAACTGGCATGGATAATGGAGCAGTGACTTTCAATTTGTAGTCACCAAAATTGTAAGGGACAGCTGTATCAGCAGAACGTTCAGAAGTTCGTGGACCCTGATGGCATTTCCCCAGGGCACTGAGGTGGGCATTGTAGCTGAACCCCTCTCAACAATCAAATGAAGGTCATGGCAGTCTGGAGAGGTTCCTGATGGCTGGAAGCTGCACAGTATTATACCCAGCTGCAAACAGGGCAGGAGGAGAAGACCTGGGAAACTATGGACCTGTTAGCCTAGCCTGGAAAAGCTGTGAAAAAAGATTGTCCTGAGGGATATTGAAAGGCAGTTAGAGAACAAAGCTGTTATCAGGCATAGTCAGCATGGGTTCATCAAAAGAAAGTCCAGCTTGAATAATCTGAAGGCACAAACTCGTGATCCATGTTAAATTTCCTACGTTTTAGTCACTCTTATAATAAGCAATTTAAGTCGGAGATAGTTTAACAAGTTAAATCTTATCTGCTGTTCCTATGTCAAAGTGATATTTTCCTTGATATGAATCAACAAAACATCATACCTAGAATTAATGTAATATTAAAGTATGGAAGGATTGTGAGTTGTCTATGTCCCATTCAAAGGGGGTACCATAAGAATCAAAAAGCACTTTGGAAAGGCTTTGTTCTAGCAGCTACACAGCCACAGTCTGCTTAGAGCTCTGGGAGATTATTAAGTTGCAACAATGAACTTAGAACAGAAAGCAGTTTGTCCTACAATTGTTAATAAGATGCCTTTTAAATTAAGGGGACCTTGTCACTCTCTGGCCATCTGCTTCTCACAAATGTCATATCTGAAAAAATCTCCCGTGTGCATTAAGCCTCTGTTTAGTACAAGTAGTGCAGTCCTTGTTAAAACAATAAAGGAAGATTTAATTGCCCCTGTATTAAAAGAAGTCCTATGATAAAAGGTGAGAAAATGCATATTGAGGCAGTTGTGCATAGGGAGGCAACCCCAAGGGGGAAAAGTGACAAACATAAAGCATCTAAAATTCGTAAAAAGTAAAAGCAATATCTGTCCACACAATCCAGCTTCTCTGCTGTTGTCCTGTGCACACAAGACATTTGATAGGTCTGCCGGGTAAGCTTATTTATACCTGCAGGTGAATCCCAAGCAAACGGATGGCAACAGCCCTCTGATCTCACTGTAGTCTTGGGTAATACTAACATCAGTTCAAGGACTCCACTAAAAGTAAAGAAGTTACACGGAACCAAATGAAACTAGCTTTAATTTAACTACTGGCGCCAATAACATGAAATATTAATGCAAAAAAAAATCACCTGAGTAGTACCAATAACGGATGGACAAACCAAGACATTGTCCCACTCAGTGATATTTAAATTCATATAAAGAATTTTCATATGCTGACTTCTATGCAGTTACCAAAACAATCCTATATTTCTCACCAGCACCCTGTAAGATCTTTAAAGACACTTTAAAAAGACTGAGCACACAGTCACTGACTTCAGAAGTCTTCCCATTGACTCTCATACAACGTGTTAGCAGAGAATCACTGTTATTATGGAATTCACTGTTGATTTATGGAAGGTGCTGACTTCTGTTTAAGAACAGGAGGACAGGGAGCCTGTAGCTACAGGAAGGAGTTTGTACTAACCGCAAAGCGAGAATGCACTGCTGGCAAAAACGGTGCCCACATCCTGTCTGGTGGGGATTGTGAAGGACTAAGTGGCAGTAGGCACACTTGTACCGGTCCTCTAAGGTTTCCACAAACTTGTAGTCAGTGTCGGGTTCGAAGTCCAGAGAAACAGCACTAGCAGAGTTCTGGCGCGTAAAGATGCCCGAGACACCAGTGAGCTCGTCACAGGCCATGGAAGCTGCTCTGGAAAATCAGACATGGGAAGAATCTTATTAAATGCTCACCATCAGTCACTTCACCTCTGCTATAGCCTGCGGCAGGCTGCCATCTGTCTGAGGGTTTCAGTTTGCAGAAGGGTCCAACAGATTTCAAAGGGAAACGTGACATCAACTGTGGAAGTACAACAGAATGCTCAGAGGACCCCAAGATGATGCTTACATGACAAGCACTAAAACATACTTTGGAAAGAGTTTCAGGATTTGAGAACGATTTCCCAGAACTGGGAATTTTTTCTCAATTTTCTTGCAGGAAGTGTTAGCCTAAAAAAACCACCAAAATTTAAAGCAGGCACATGTGGGGAAAGCAGAGGCCAAGTGTTGGCCCTAAGATCTGCCAGGAAAGTCTGTGCTTAACATGAAACTCTCCCACACAGTATCACAAATTCACTGCACTGGTGCAAACAAGATAGCTTTGTGGTTCATGGCCAGGAGTACACACACACACACAAAAAAAAAAAAAAAAAAAAAACCACACAAAAAAAAACCCAAACCAGAAGTAGAGGGATTTTACCTTCAGTTTAGGTGTTAAAAGACCCAAAGCCTCTTATCTTGTCATCCTTCTATTTCCAGATGATCATTCATTTATAGCAGTAGACTATAATCTCATTTTTTCCAAAATTTTACTTAATTGTATGTCAGTTCTTGGCTATATTAACCTCACCTGCAAGAAAAAAAAAAAGAAAAAGGAAGATTGCAATCAGAAACATGTCATAAGTTTTTTGCTCAACCTATAAAAGCTCAGAGGCGCCTGATGAATGCAATATTAGTTTTCTAATAGGAAAAAAACAACAACATCTGTTTCCAGCTCTAACAGTCACAGACCTAGAGATTTGCCACAGATCCCCTCAATCTTACAGTACTATTGTGCAAATAGCCAAAGACCTCAAGCTGCTCAGGTTTTTATTTCTTGTAGCTTTGCATTCAGAAGACATTTATACTCACAGGATGTGTACAAAAGCACAGCTCATCAGCCACAACCATGTTCTCTTAAATAAAAGAACGTAAGTCAAGTGTTTGATCTTCTGGTCAGTACCTCATTACTGACAGCACAAAACACAACTCACCACAGAGGTACTCAATTTCACAGCAGTACTTGAGCATGCTGTTTCCCCTTTGGGTGCATCATTCTCCCTGCCAGTCACCTGAGTCACTTTTGCTGGCACCTCGCTAGGGCCTGACTCAGCACCAGTAAGGTCACTGAGGGTGTCTGCTGTGGAAACATGGCTGGCACATGACCACAGCAGCCCCACAGATGGCAATGAGCAGCACTGATACATGGCATATCCCATTCAACTGAGGGCTGTTGGCCCATGGAAACAGTGGTGAGGATGGCACAGCACAGAATTTGAAAGGTCATGGAGCAGCTGGGGCTCAGAAAGCAGATTTCTCTACTGTTCAAAATCCTGTGCTGGACAAGGAAATCCTGCAGGCCAGAGGGAGCAGATGACTTGAAAGCAAGCCAAAACACACGATCAGCAGGAGCCAATCTGCTCACTGTGGGCCTCATAGGGCACTCATCTACCAGCCTGCAGGACTGGACATGGGACTCATCAGACATTGTCTGTCCCTTTTTCCTCTGACAACAGGGTTCTCGTTTCTCTGATGCTCACCAAGGAGCAATTTTATTTCCCTCATGCCCACTGAGGATGCAGGGAGGCAGCCTGAGGGGTTACCAGCAGCACAGCTTCCATCACAGACCCAATGGCCTGTGCAGTGGCCACCATGACCTGTGCAGCATGGGCACCTGCTGGCCAATCTCCTGCAAACTCAGCACTCAGTAAGAACATCAAAACACATCTCATTCCTCTCATTTATGAATGCTTCTTCTCATCTATGGAACATCCAATTTTTCCAGTCCAGTCCTGTCACACTTCAGGACTTGCACCTTCTGGCATCATGTATTCTGCAAGTTGATGCCACACTGTTTAACAAACACAGACACACACACAAAAATCCATGATTACCAGCTTCTTTCTTTCAGGGTCTATCCTGAAAGCCTTCCCAGGCACAGACAGCTCAGGTTTGCCACTGTCACCAGCCATTACATGACTGCTGTGGGACGTGCAGCTGCTTTGCGATGAACCAGGCCATGTGATGCACACAGCCTGGGAGGACTCTGCGAGGATCCTGTGAGGGCCCAGGGGCTGCTGCAGCCCCTATCAGGCTCCCGCCATTTCCCTGTGCAGCCCTTCAGCTGTAGGTCAGCTCTTTCCACAGGCTTGGGACCGAGGGGCTGGGGGTAAGACAAAAAAGAGGCACTTCGCTTTGCCACACACCAGAACTGGAGTGGAGTCTGCTTGAATCAGTGTGGTTTGGCGTGAGACAAACCCCGAGGAGCCAGAGGTGATGGCTGGGTGACAGACCCACCGCTGACCAGTGCTTGGCGTGAGGTGACGTATTTCCACTACTGTCACAGCAGCCCCAGGCTGACTGCAGGAGCCCTTCTGACCCTCCTGGTCACCGCTGCTCACGCCCATGCTTTTTGAGTTAGCATCAGTGGGAAACCATGAGGGGAAAAAATGCTTTTTGTGCTCACCCGCCTGCCGCTGGCTGACTGCATCAGTTTCCTGCTTACGCCAGGGTCTGGCCCACGCCACCACCGAGGTGTGCTTTCACTTCTGCCTGCTCCCAGCTGCAAAAAACGTGAGGACATCCTCTGTTGTGTGAGTGTGCCAAAAACATGAGGGCATCCTCTGTTGTGTAAGCGTTCCTATCTTGCATGTAAATGGCACTGCTGAACAGAACTCTGCACCTAGAGAAGCAGCTGGAATCACCAAAAGCTAAGCATGAGTAGTATGGAGAGCTACCAAAGAGTGGCAGCTCAATGGCAGCGCAGCACAAACAGCTCACAGCTGGGCTCCCACCTTGCTTCACATCCCTGCCCCTACCTACATCAACAGCAGAATGCTTCCGAAACAACATTTTTTTATCTGAGTTGCATGCAGATACATATCTCACTAGCAATAACACAGCGAAGAAGCTTCATAACAAAAACACAATTTCTTTATCTAGCTTTAACTACCACCACATCAGATGATGCCTAGCCATTTCTGGTTGGGCTAACTTACTGCTTAGAAGTGGGGTAAGACACAAGGAGAACCTAAGAAGACAAATCAACATGAGCCTGATTTACAGTCATACAACAATTATGACCATATGCAACAATGACACTGAACTAATGTGGACAGATTAACTTTTTTTTAGCCATGAACTCACTGCACACAGAGAAAAACACTTGCATAATGTTGTAGTTCTTTTTTAAGACAGTATGTTTTTCCTCTTTTCTCTCACATGAAGGTTCCCAAGAGAGGTTAATCACATTGCCATGTGAGCTTGAGCACGTGAGCCACTACAGGAAGTGCAGCACCCAAACATCCAGGACAGCCAATGCAGCACATGGGCACTGAACACCACCAAGTCTTTTAAACTGAGAAGGGTAAGTTTGTGAATTGTTATTGCTGGTTTGGTCATTAAGCATGGACAAGAAAATAGGATGCTTGGTCCTGCTGTTTAGTAGATAGGGGACCTACTGGCTGAAAGCACAGCTTCACTTGGGTTCATAATATAAGGGAAGATAATGCTCAGCTATGCTCCAGGGTTGGGGTGCTGCTCACTGTGATTACTTCCTTCCCTTCTATGATTCCATGAAATATATTTAATAGGACATGAAGTTGTATATCTGTAATCCTACGCTCTAATTCCAGTTTAGCTCTATTCCTTTGCCCCAAGGAATCACAGAATCACAGAATTGTAGGGGTTGGAAGGGACCTCCAGAGATCATTAAGTCCAACCCCCCTGCCAAAGCAGGTTCCCAACACCAGGTCACACAAGTAGGCGTCCAGGTGGGTCTTGAATATCTCCAGAGAAGGAAAAGGAACAGAGCTTAGAAAGTCTTAGAAGGTGCCCCATCCCTCCTATTGAAGATTATTATGGGAAACCCGTCTAAGTTGGGATTTGGAAAGTTTTGTAAAAGTCAGATCTTCAGAGGTCTAAGATCAGTTCACTTCCATGGGAGCTGACTGACAGAAATACGGTGGAAGGGAACATACCTTGCACTAGAAAGACCCTCTTCAAGCTGCCTTATAAACTAGAAAGATTAGTTGCCTCCAGGACTTTTGAAATAAAATAACCAAGTCATATGGTTTATCAGTAATATATGGCTTCACTATGAAAACACTGAATTTTGGGGACAGCAAACATATGCTCCAAGTCTTAACATACACGGCTAAACAGTCTGTTAAAGGACTACTGTAGATGTCTATACATATTAAATACATACCTATCGAAGATGCAGCAGACTACATTGAGTCACAGAGAAAAATAAAAGCAGGTGATGCTGCCTGATATCACTGCTGGTTTATCACCACTCCTCCTAACCCAAGGGAGAGTTACAATATTTTGACTGCTCACAACAAAATGCACTAGAAAAGTCCCTGCAGGGGAGAAGGATCCTGGCTGCATTTCTTGAAACCTCCCAGCCTTGAGGTTACAGAGGAGAAGGATCCAGGAGACTCACCACTGAGATACACAGGGTTTCACTCAGCAGCAAATCAACACCAAGAGCTACTCTGCTTACTTAAAAATGACCAACTGGATGCAGTGACCAACTGGCATCCAGGAGAAAGTACTTCTAACAGCAGCAGTTTCAGAACTTCCTCTGAGGCCCCACAGAGCCTGTTGCTGCAGAGGGCAGCAGAATCAAATCAGGTATTGTTAGACAATATTATCCAATTCAAACTCCAGCATTACCGTATTTCACAGGCTTACAGTAAATAGTAAAACTTTACTAAGCAAGCATCAATTTGCTGATCTCCATAGTAAAATTTTCACCAAGTGAAGTGAGGCACAGAAAGGTTTCTTTTGCATAGAGTTACAGTCAAGCATTATAATGAATCCCCATAAGACTAGACTCCATTATTTTTAAGGCATAGATTACAGTACAGACAGCACTTCAAAAATTAGCAATACACAACTAGCAAAGTGTATCTTGTGCTTAAGTAGCTTCAATTTTATGATCAATTTTACTTATTTGCTACATCTGCTATTTTCCCTGGATTTCCTAATCACAAATTTATTAATTTTGTATTATCATGAAACTCTCTACATCTAACCAACACAATGTTAAGTTACAGTAACATGGATTTCTGTCTTAAAATAATTGTGTTCTCAGCTGGAAATTAATTTTCTTCCTAACACTATTGAGAGGTCACAATCAAGAGTCATTAAAAAAAAACCACAACAATCAATGAAGCTACTTTATAATCTAGTCATTTAAAAAACACTGACACATGGAAACAAACAAACAACAACAACAAAAACAAACCAAAAACCACACACTCCAGAAACCCCACATTTTCTGAATACCTATGTTTCAAGCTAGTAAATAGCTATTTTTCAAGCTAGTAAATACTGATGGTCACAAGAAAACATCGTACAGATCGTTCTCTATCAGACTACCCTGCCCCAGAACTGAACAGTTCTTTCATTTGTCAGTCAATTCTACACTTCTGTATCAATATATAGATGATTTACCATCATCCTGACCCCCCTCAGCAATCTCCACAGAAGGCACACTTGCAGACCTCTCTGCTTGCAGCCCATGCTCTGGATGCTGCTGTCAGCTCAGCGGGGGAGTTCAACTCCAGACAACTTTCAGGCTCTGAAGCCCTCTATAACAACCATGTGGCACTCACACATCCCCCTGCAGCAGCTAGCACCCGAGGAGCTGCTTACAGATGACAAAAAAAATATAACAGCATTAGAATCCTGACATCATTGCTGAGACACGTTTTAGTAGAACTGTACCTGAAATCTGTAGCCGATCTTCAGCGAGGAGAAAATGAGAGAGCGAGCGTGCACGAGTGTAAGCTTTGTGGTTAAAACAACAGTACGAGCATTTTAAATCAGCGAGGGAGTGGAAATCCCCTGGTGTAGCATTGAAAAGATCATGTCTAAAAATGTTTCAAAAGTGTTAGGACAGGAGCAAGCCATCTAAAAGCATTTTTCCTTGCAGCTTTGATGTACCAATTGCAGAATTTGCTATTTGGAGCAACATAATTTTACCAAGAACATTTTGCACAGATTTAGTCTAGGATACAGAGTCTGCATATTGATAACATCGCTTTCACGGAAGTGCTGAGTGGTATATCTAAAGGGAAAACAAATGGTCAGGAGCAAGCACAGAAGTGTAGAAGGAAACCCAAGGCCCAGCCCTGCCAGATCCATCCCTACACAAGGAATCCCTGTGGGCACAGGCAGGTCTGCTCGCTGCAGGAAGCTGAGGGACTGCTCATGGAGGAAATGGCACCATTGAGCTACAGCTACCACAGGAACTCACACTGAAGGCTGCATGGACATCTCACATTTAAAACAGAACTTTCCAGCTGTTACAAAAAGAGATGTTTGTATTTGGATTTGTAATAACCAAGGCCACCCTACACCCTGTTTATTTCAGAGCCTGAAGTTAAGTGCTTACACAGGACTCCTGGCAGTCTCCATCCCTGCAGTCTCTGTGGACAACAACCTTGTTTCCCTGGACCAATATATGATTCCCTTCCTGCAGTGCCACAGGCTCCATCTCTAATCCCACTCCTTCCTTCTTCTGCTCTGCTCCCTCCCTGGCTTCCTGGTCTCTTCTTCCTTTATTCGGTATGTTAACGACGAGAGCTTGAGTACTGGTCAGCTTGTTCAGTTAAATGAGCCCCTAATTAAACCAAGTAATAACAATTTCCCTTCATCCCCTCATCTTATTTTCTAGATAAGCAATAATTTTCAGTACTCCTGTTATTTAAAATACAAGTATTGAAAAAAAAGCTTCTATTCTGTCTTGCAGCAAATGCCACACATGCTCTCTTTAGCCTTTTTCCTTTAATTAAGCCTGCTCATGAAGCATTTCTAATCTTGTTCAATCTCAGTCTCCCCTCCCAGGAGGATTTTAGACTACTGCATGCTTTCCTGAACCATCCCTACAGCACTGGAACAGACAAGTCATCACTGAAGCTGGTACTGTGCTGGCAGAGAGAAAGGCATCTATTTGAAGGCATGCTTCTTTTTCATGGGATCAATTAAACTGATCCAAGTTGCATTTCTAGACACAGCCTAAAATAAACTATATGGCTAAACCTTATAAAACAGAAAATACTCTTTTGTCCTTGCAACAAATTCACATCCTTAGGATATGCCTTGATCAAGCACAATGCACAGTGTGTGCATAAATTGACAAAGGATGAGCGAAATAACTCCAACATGGGTTCTCCTTAAAACCATCAACTCTGGAAGCAGCACTCATCCAGCCAGTGCCATGAGGCAGAACTGCAGAGAATACAGTGTTTGTGAGCACAACTCCAGGAAGCACCATCTGCTTCTGGGAAGCTTTGGGGAAAACCCCAAATGGAGAAGTTGAGTAGGAGCAGGATCTTCATTTTAAACAATCTCGCTCAGCAGATGAGTAGAAAGCAGATGAGTAGAAAGGGGTTGTTGTTCTTGGGCCCCCCTCCATTTCCTGCAGCCCTAAGTGCAGTGCTGAAGACCCTGGCAGGAGGAACCAGCAAGGAGCATCAGCAAGCTTAAAGCATGCACACCAGGATGATGGAAAAGACGGCCAGGAACAGCATTTAAGGAAAGAAACAAACACACAAGAACCACATAAAGAAACCAAAGGTACTGAAACGAAGTAAAAGAAACGTGGAGAACAAGACAACCAACTACATTTTCTTTCTTGAAGCGTACCAGAACCAAAATGAAGTCTTCACATTTCCTAACAAATAGTACAGACCACACATGCTGCAGGACTAGGTTCAAGAGGTTACCTCTCCTTCCCCACCCCAAGGGCACACGCTATGCAGGATATCAGTTGGTTTGACTTCAGTCGGAGCGTCCATTAATACCTATTCAATGCACAAGAGAGTTTGATTTTCCATGCACTCAACCGTATGTCTTGATCTTAATGAATGATTTAATCAGCGCAGATAAAAAAATCTCTCAATATACCCTATGGTTATGGTTATCCATCCGCATTACTAGGATAAGCTCAAATTGTGCTATGTTCACCACGACACAGGAGATTTTGGCAGGCCACCTATTTCTTCTTGGACACTTAGTAATTCCAGAGGTTAGAAATTCCCTTCAGCTCAACTGCAGGAATTCATAAGCTCAGTGGATTGTGCTTAGATACATGTATGTGTCTGATGACATATGGACACATATTTTCTAGCCTATGATGAGTTAATTGGTATGTCAGAAACCAACTAGTATCAGTGACTTCATGACCTTGCTGCTGGGAAAGTGGTGACAGTAAAGATTATCATCACTGTCTTTTCTTAAAAATGAGAAAGGGGAACGGACACGTTCTTAAGAAGTCCTGATGAGATCAAACATGACACACTGGAGATTTACAGAGTTACAAACAGGTGGCAGGGCTTTCACAGGGCCCAATATCAGGAAAGATGCCATGTAAAAAGGATGTTAACACACCCAGGGTGACACCCAGTGCTCCTCCTGCTATTGGCATCGTTTTTAGCTGTATTGCTCCCAGCAGTGAACAACATCACTGGGCTTTTAGCCTTCAAGGTGTGTCTCAGACATCACCAAGGTCAGTGTTGGTAATTCCTCTGGGAAAAAGTGCCATGAGGTTTGATGTCAGTGACAAAGAAACAAACCAACAGATAAGTTTTTTTTCATTACAGATAGTGCCTAATAGTCTTGCATGATACATTCAATTGAATATATGATCTGGTGACCATTTATACCCGCTGTCTCTAAGACAACATTAAGAAATGAAACCTGAGATTTTGCTTTCATATTCAGAAAGGGCCATACTCCAGTTCCAAGTGCATGAATTCATTGTTGGTTTATGGCAGAAACTCCATGCCTGAAACCAACACATTGCCTCATGCATCTCATAGTGACCACCTCAGGCAAAACTGCTTTGCGGATTGTTTCTCTCATTGAGGTTTGTTTAGTCACTGGTGGCTTTGTGTAATAACAACTTCTCAGTATTATCTTCTGCAAAATAAGGACACAACAGCATATGTGCCCTTAGAGAACCCCATTTGCAAGTGTCAATTTAAGACAAATATAAACTCTCTTAAAGAGTTCCCCACACAAATGCACTTAGCTACAAAGCACTGTGGGCAGTCCCATATTAAAACCACTGCAATTCGGGGTGCTGACAGTTCTCACATTTAATTGTTGTAAAACTGAGATGTAGAGACTATGGAAATTTTTGCTGCATTTTTATTAATGATATGCATGACTCAAGTTTCCTTACCTTCCTGAGCTGCTACACGCCAGAGTAAAGAGGTTAGCCTCTTTCCTGGGCTGAGGGAAGGAGATGGAACAACTGTGTGTACAGCCCAAATAGCACAGATAACAGAGGGACTAACAGTGTGAACATTAACTCTTCATGGTCACGAGCCAAGAAACTTGAGCAGGACCAGAAAATAAAAGGTTCTTCTGCAAATCAAGGCACAGACCCAAGGAGACACAGGACGTGTCAGCACACTGCTCCTGGCAGGCCACTAAACACTGTGGAGAATGGAATGTCTGCAAGATGAAAGAAAATACCCATGAGATTGCAGCTATCACCAGAACTCTCAAGATCAAGGGCCCAACAAATGTTTTAATTCATACAGACTCTGTGAAGGACCAGAAAGAGAAATGCTCTCTCCACAGCCTACTATTAATTGAGGATAAATAACATCTGTCTACCTATTTATAATCGAAAGGCCAGAAAAAGAATCAGAAAAGACACAGGCGTACAGGTTAACTTAAAGAAAGGATGCTAATAAAGCCTGGGAGATCAAGCACCCAGCAAGTCTCTAGCTGCACGCTGAAGTGATTTGGCAAAGTTACCCAAAAGTGTTCAGCACAAAACAAATAGTATCTAATCTATTTGGGACTACTATTATTTAACATCTTTGCTGATGACACCAAGCTGGTGGTGCAGCTGACAAACTGGAAGGACACCAACAAGAGTGACCTGGATATTCCAGAGAGGTGGACTCAACAAGGGACATCTTGAAGTTCAGCAAGACCAAGTGCAAAGTGCTACACCTGGGTTAGGGCAATCTCAAGTGCAGATACAGGCTGGGCAGAGAACGGATTAAGAGCAGCCCTGAAGAAATGGAGTTCTGGGTACTGGTGGACAAAAACTCTTTGTGAGCTGGCAGTATGTGCTTGCAGCCCAGAAAGCCAACCATCTCCTGGACTGCATCAAAATCAGTGTGACCAGCAGGTCAGGCAAGTGATTGACCCCAACTGCTTTGCTCCTGTGAAACCCCACCTGCACTACTGTGTCCTGGCCTGGGATCCCAAGTAGAGAAAGGATGGAGAGCTGTTGGAATGGGTCCAGAGGAGGGTGTGAGGATTATGAGAGGGTTGGAGCACTTCTATGAGGAAAGGTTGAGGGAGCTGGGCTTGTTTAGCTTGAAGAAAAGAAGGTTGTGGGGAGACGTCATTGCAGCCTTCCAGTACCTAAAGAGGCCTACAGGAAAGCTGAGGAGGGACTCTTCAGCAGGGAGCATAGCGATAGGACGAAGGTAACAACTTCAAACTAAAAGAAGGGAGATTTAGATTAGTTGTCAGGAAGAAATTCATTACTTGGAGGACAGCGAGGCACTGACAGAGCTGCCCAGAAAAGCTGCAGGTGCCCCATCCTTGGAAACATTCAAGGCCAGGTTGGATGTGTGGCCTGATCCAGTGGAAGGTGTTCCTGCCCTTGGCAGGGACTTGGAATTGTGTGGGCTTTGAGGTCCCTTCCAACCCAAAGCATTCTGTGATTCTATAACCTGACCCATAGCTCTCCACTTTGAAGGCTTTGCAAGAACTGTGCTCCTATCTTCAATACAGCGTTTAGCAAGTATGCAGGTAAAATAAAGAGCTGTGTGGCTTCTGCTCTTTGCATTAATTGGAAACTCCTTTTATCAAAGTTTCCAATAGAAGCTTTCCAGTTTAAAAACCTTGCCTCCTACTGGATGCCACTTCTCATTCTCTCCAAACTTTCTAATTACTGCTTCAGTGCATCTTCCCACCACCCCTGCAGTGTCTGTGAGAGCCACAAGCTTTCTTTTCTTCCTTCCTGTCTTTACTTATCTCTCTACACTTAACACCTTGAGCCAAAGCTTCCTGCCAGCTGCTCACAAGTTCTCCAGACTGCTGCAGGCTGTCTTCCTGCAAAAGCTGAACTCCAGCTATCTCTTCCAGCATCCATGCTGGAATTGTTGGAGTTGGAAGGTACTCTTGAAGTCCATCCAGTCCAACTCCCCTGCAGTGAACAGGGATACCTACAACTCAGTCAGACGCTCAGAGCCACTCCAGCCTGATCTTTAGTATCTCCAGGAACTTCTCTTTATCTACTTCTTCTCTGGGCAGCCTGTTCCAGTGCCTCACCACCCTGATTGTAAGAGACTTTTTAATATCCATTCTAAGGAAGCAGACCACCTCCTGCACAGTCCCTCCTACCCACACCCAACACAGCCGGCCCGGACTACATGTGGGCCCATTACCTTCATCCCTTTCTCTTGCGCTTAAAGAATTAAACCTGCACGGTTTCATCAGCTCCATTTCATGATGCAGTACGTCTTGTGTGCTTATGCACTTTTCCAGGCCCTCACCATCTACCTGCTTTCCAAACACTTTTAAAAAATGCAGGCGGTACTTACTCACCCGCCCAGGACCCAGAGATGATTTTTGCAAGCCACAGCTACAACCACATCATGTCTCTGCCCATCCCTCCACCAGAACCACATGGAATCGTTAAGGTTGGAAAAGACCGCTGGAACCATCCAGTCCATCCACCGACCCATCCCCACCCGCTAACCGCGTCCCTCAGTGCCACATTTCCGCGGTTCTTGAACACCTCGAGGCGCGGTGAGTCCGCCACCTCCAGGAGCAGCCCTGACCTCCTTCTCCCCCTCCAGGCTCCCAAATCCACCTCTCCCACCACCAGCACCACCACCCACCCCCTCCGGCGCTGTAGCAGGGCTGGCTTCACGTCGGGCCGGGCGGCGTCGCCACCGCAGCGGGCAGCCCGTCCCCAGGAGCGGCACGGAGAGAAGCGGCCCTCCCGCCCCGCGCCTCCCGGCCCCGCGCCCCGCGCCGCCTTCGCCCCCCCGCGGCACCTGCCGGGCCCGGCCCGCCTCCCCGCCGCACCTGAGCCGGAGCTCGCCGCCCGCCGGGCCGGGGCGGCGGTGGGAGGTGCGGGGCGCGGCTCCGAGCGGAGGGCAGCGCGGGCGGGGAAGCGCAAGCGCCGCCGCTTTCGGTTTCATGGCAACCCCGGGGCGGGGAGAGCCCGAGGCGGCGGGGGCTGCGGGGCGGCCCGGGGCGGGGTAGCGCGGCTGCGGCTGGAGCTGGGGAGGCGGAACGGTGGGGGACGGCGGGGAGGGTCGGCTCCTCCCCCTCCTGCAGAAATCGAGCGTATCGCTGTTGCTATCTTTAGGAGTGCCCCGGTTACTCGGCGTTCCGCCTGTCTGGGAAGTTCACGGGAGCGCCGCTCGGAACAACGGGCGTCACGTTTCTGTGAGTAAACGCGTATAGCGGTGAAGGAACAGATCCTTTGGAGGTGGGATGGCACTCCTGATCCCCATCCTACCGACAGACGTTTCAGCTCCCCCGGAGCGCCGCTTCCAGGTACCGCAAAGTGTGCCGAGGAGCCACCGAGCAGCGGGTCGGACCTTGCTGTCGCTGCAGCTCCTGGAGAGCAAAGCAGCAGGGCGCACGGAGATCCCTATCTCGGGGTTACGAGGGCGTTAACCCGAAAGGAGCCTTCTGTACCAGTAGCAGCAAGGCTAAAATAGTTCTGCTGCCCGGTTATTTTGGTGTATAAAATGACACCAATTTTTTTTTAAGTTTTACCTCAGTACCTATGTTAGGATGTCTGTTACTACAGTGGGGCCAGTTGCTCGTAAGTAGCATGGATACTGCTCTCTGTATGTGTCCTTCTCTTCCCACCGGAGTATAGGCTCTGCCTCCCTTATTCACCAGTAGCTCAGTTAGACTTTAAATTGTGTTAGGCTGTAATTGGGCGTTAAATGGTATTAAGGACTATATTTTTCTTCTGTACTTCACACAGAACTCCCTGTTCTCAGAGCAGATCTCTGCCATGCCCATCCCTGCTTCCAGTGCACCCCGAGAAAGGAAAACAGATTCTTCTGCTTTAACCCTGGGGAGAGCTAGAGGCCCATCACATTTATCACGATGCCCCAGTTCTATGTAGCACATTTTACAGTGCCCCATTTTGCAGCGTGGCTTTGACAGCTGATTATTCCATTTCCTTTTTTGTTTGGAAACACAAACTGATGTACATCCTCTTAAGAATTTCCTCTTGGACCTGACTTTGCTGACACCATTCCTGCCAAGCAGCAGTTCTCACTTCAGCCCATTCTCTCCCTTTATCAGCAAGAGGCTCGGCCCTGTTCTAGTAACCTTCATCCTCTTTGCTTTGTAATCCCGTGCGATTCCTACTCAGGCTCCCCCCTAGGTAAGCTACAGGCTCATGTTTGCTGGGGGCTGTGAACTTTCCAGAACAAGAACAAAGACAAAAACCAAAACCTAAGAACACAAGTCACGGTAATTCCTTTCACTCATCGTCAACTGTGTAAGAAATTAAACTGCTGTACGATGATGTGCAATGTTTAGTGATTGATTTTATTAATGCAGGAATTCCTGCTTCGCTCCATACCCATTCTGATTTAAAGTGCAACAATTAGATCTGATATTTTTGTACATCCATACTTTGCAAGCGCTGTTCCTCAGACGACGTAGTTCAAATTATGCCTTGCAGTTGTAAAACCTGTCAGTTTTAGTACCGTTTTGCTTTATTAACTAAAATAAACTGTACAAAAAGCTGTAGAGTTACATTAGCTTTGAACAATGTTGGATACACGTTCTCAGCCGAACTTTAGTGTGCAAACATTTTACATTTTTTAAAGTGACAAAATTAAGCCAGCCTTGAAGTCAGAGTTCATTACTACATTACAAAAACAGGAGACGAGATATGGCAAAAGAAATTCCCCACCGAAATCAACACCATTGTATAATTTTATTTCTAATTCTTAAAAAAATAGAAATGAATTTAGAAGAGAATCACAGTATAAGGGCCCTAACATATTAGACTATTACCAGGTACATAAAAATAGAAGACACAGATTTCTTTGAAACTTTAATCCTTTGATTAAGCAGCAAGCATATCACTCTCCAGGCAAACACTGCTTAAAACAAACCCTACCCCCAAAAACAGGACGTGCAAACTGTATGCACATACTCTGCAAAGCACACAATAAAGACATTTTGCTATGTACATACTTAATTAGTACTACAAACGCTAGGAAATCCCTACTGTGTGCTACAGTGTTTGTAAAGGAAGAAATACTACCCATCTCTGCCCCTCCCGCCCCCTTCAAATACAGCACCTTTGCCCAGTTATAGAATATTTAAACAAGATTAAACTGAATTACAATGTACTGAACAGTTTTATAGCAGTTGGTGGCGGCCAACTCTACTGCAACACCCAACATTCTGCATACTGAAGTCTATCGACGAGACAAGACAAAAATTAGCAAAGGTACAATACACACACCTGGGAGACTCAATGCTTTTAAAAAAAAAAAAAGTGAGAAGTACTGGAGATGTACCCTATCACTGTTAACAACTGAGATACTTATGGATATGGAAATGGATTTCCTATCAGTTTTAAAAACCCGTCTGGGTAGCAGCCAGATCCGTACGTGGCTGTTGAGGGACACTTAAGACTTCCAGAACAAACGATTCGGCGATCACGCTCAGCACATTTTGATTACAGTGTTGCTTTTCTCAGGAGAGAGGTCATCTGATGCTCACATAGTGGCTAAGAACCTACTCTGATGCAGAAGAAAATTCCTAAGAAGGACCCCTTGTATGAGACACCAGTGCACTGCTGAAAGCTGTATTGAAAGAAAAATCGAGTTTGATCTGAAAATATTTGTGAACTTAGCCATAAAGGTGAACGCTTTAATTGCGATTCAGGTCACAAATATCAATCCCTAATACTAGATTTACAAAGGTAATAGGATCTGGTGCTGTAAGAACTTCCCTTTGCACAAATGAAAAGCCTTAGTCAACTGCTAACTGGTGGTCAGACCACCACATCATCTGTGGAAAGAACGAGGGAGAGCACATTCCATTTTCAAATACAGCCTCGTCTGAGTCATGCGCAAATCAAACTGGTAACACAATGAATTTAACAGGATTTTAAACACCAGGTATAAACAAATAATTTTCTAGAATAGCATGGCAGTTAGCAATGCAATGTTTTTCAATAGCTTGACTCAGATCATAGTTTCAAATGCTGGTACTGAAAATTGAAGCCTGGTTTACTTGGAAGGGAGAGGCGTTTGCTTTAAAAACAAACCAACAAAAAAACTAAAACTGGGCATGAATCAGGGTTCTAGACAAGAAAAATGTAGTAGTAAATACCGTGAAAAATAAACCCCAACCTTTTATTCTCCTAGAATGGGGAAGCCATAATTGATACCGAAATGCAGGTTTTACTAGTGAATAAAACAAAACAAACCATGATAGCTGTAACCCAGCCCACCGATCTGCCAGCAATAGCAGAAATCAGACATTTAACACTGGGCAGGCAGGCAGCAGAGAGCCCTATTGCTACGTTACTCTCCTAACCACCCTCAGCCTCTGTGCATTCATCATACATCATAGGCAAGATATCAATGATCTCGCAAACACCAACTGCGAGCAAGATGTTCTCAGAGGACTGAAATTCTGCTGTACTTAAATTAGAAGGGTCAGCAGAAGAACTAATTAAATGGATGGTTCTTGCTAAGCAGTTCCTCTGCTGCCATCCCCCTGGGTGCTGGCAGTTGCTGCCTCTCCCCAGCCCAGCCTACAAGAGAGAGTGCAGCGGGAAACTAGACTCCTGTTTAGAAGACAGCTTCTATGACTAGAACACACGTGATGTTTAGTATGTTTGGTACAATAGCTCACTGAGTTTTCAGAACTCTTGAAGAGGACTGTTTAATAAGAAAGTACCTTTTTTAAACAAGAAAAAACATTCTGGGAAAAAACATTAAGAGAAGAATCATCTACCTTTTACAATTGCAAGAAATGCTTCTACAGATATCTAAACAGGGCCAAAAATTCTGAACCTAAGGCCATTAGGTTTAAATTTTTTTTCTCCACTAAAAAGTAAAAAATAAAATGAAAATTACACACAGAAAACCACTACATTTAAGTCTCCTACAATATTACTTATTCCTAGGATTTGCCAGCCTACTTTCCTGTAGTTAGATGCTCGACTACAAAGAACCATAATAAAATAAATAGAGTAAAAAAATCAGTTAAATGAAATCCTGGTGCGTTGAACATTGACTCATGTATGAAGTTAGCTTCCTTCGACAGTTATTCACATAGAGGAGGGCTGTATTGTAGGCATTGTTCTTCTGTACAAGTCTTCTACAAAAAATATTTTTACACAGGTGGTCATTCACGTGGTTCCAGTACTGGTTATTACCTTGCTCCTCTGTAAGACTGGTCTGCTACCTGCGAAGGCTCGCTTTTTTTCTGCTTCTTTATTTGGAAAAGGAAAAGTACCTTGATACAGTCTTTCAGATGTAGGAGTTAGCATAATTCTGCTTTATTTCTTCAGTGCAGAGTGGACTGGGATTCTGTCTGAATTCCAATCAGTGAGGGTGGCTGCTGGCCGCTAACGGTGGTCAACACCGGCCTTGGGTTCAGACGGGGAGGCATGGAATTAGCTGGGCGGATGAGCGGTGGGGGAGGCTGATTGAGAGTTGGCCTTGGCTGAATAAATCGCGCCTGCTGTTGGAGCGGCGGAGGCTGACGGTGGAGAGCAGGAGCAGCAGGAAGCGCTGGACGAAGTAACGGGGGTGGCTGATTTAAAGTTGCCATGGGAGCGGTAGGAGCTGGAGCAGATGCCTGTGCTGGAGGTGAAGGGCCTAAACACTGAGTGGTCGGAGTGCTTTGCGCCTGCACAAAGGACAAAGACAAGACCGCGTGAAGAGCCATCCCAGCCGGAACGCGGTGCCGTTGGGGTTGCCACTGTCCACTACACAGGAAACAGCATTTAAAAAACAAAACCGAAAAACTGAGAAGTTACTGAAAAGAAATCGCCAACCAAAATATTACAGACGGCAGAACTAAAAATATCTATGAAGCAAGAGTCTTCTTTCTAGAACAAGAACTGTATTTTAACAATAAAAAGTAACGTGATCGTCACTATGAAAGGTGCGGTCCTGTTCCCAGCGGGTTAACGACATTGGCTGAAGTTCTATGCAAGCTTATCATCATTCTTTAGAATGTGGTTTGCCACTCCACACCAGTTAACCTTACATTACATCACTAAATAAAATGCTGTTCCTCAACCCATGCTTACTTATATCTGGTACACAAAACACACCTCATCTTCTTCATCAGTGCTCTTTCCTGATGGCACATTAGAAGTATTTTTTGTGTCCTCCCCTAAAGCAGAAGCATCACCATTAGAAGCCAGGGTTCCTTGTTCCGCTTCCCATTCCTGCAATACCTCCTCTAAGTTAAACCGACGCCTGTAGTTTACAAAGAAGTTCTTCACTTGGCCAACAGTCTTGTTGCCAATTACATCTGCAATAGCTTGAAAATCTTTACCATATTTGCGGACACCTGGAAGGCAAAGTAAATAACATAGCTGTGAAGGATCAGTCAGACACAGCTACGTGTGATGTATTTATAGAGAGATCCTATGGGACCTGCAAACCAGACTCACTAATTAGGAGGATTTCTCAATTAGGAGAAGGCCTCAATTTCCATTAAGACAAAAATATTTAATTGCATAGCTATCAACACATAAATCAAGAACTTTATTAAAAGGTCATTACCCACTCTTCTTAAAAATCCTGGCTTACTCACCAAGCCTCCCAACCTAAAACCACAGAGATCTGGCCTCTGACAAACCAAGTAAATCAGCGTGCTTGGACTAAAGGCAGAAGCCCAAACTGAATTCTAGGAGGGAGAGGGAGGGTAACTGAATATATGTGTATAGCTGTAACAGGGGATAGTACTAGAAATGCCAAGTGGCAAAAGTTGACACAGCTTTTGTAGGTTCCCTCCACGCCAGCTGCCCACCACCTGTGCAGTAGCTGGTCAGCAGGAGTGCTGAGCACAGGAGCTCACCATACACTGCTTATTCCTCCACTTCTGACACGCTGTACTGGGGCTAAAGAGTAATTGGCAAGCATTCACAGACAAAGTTGTTTTAAAGCTTTCATTCACCATTCAAGCCGGGTAAACAAACCTGGGGCTTTGGACAACCACCTAGCAGAACATAAACAAATACAAGCAGCCAGTGGTATCTGTGTCTAAGATAGCCCCGCACCAGCCTCCAGGATCAAATTCTGCAGCAAGGAGCGGCAGAACAGAAGATCTTTGCATTGTTCTTTTCACCTGTTTTTACGTCAGTATCAATATATTATCAGCACTCCACAAGAAAACTGCTGGTCCTTTTCAAAATCCCAACAATGCTTTTTAAAGTTCTAAAATGACATTTGCTTATAATGTGGAAAAAACAAACAAACAAACAAACAAAAAACCAGAACAGAATTTTGTTTAACACTAAAATTGGAATTAAAATCTGAAAATGTTGGCTCTGTTTATTTAGGGTATTAGTCTAGTTCCTCATGTTGCCTGCTTCAGGAGAAAATCCTCATCCTAGAGAACAGTTGTACAAAGTTTATTATTAATCACAAGTGGCCAGAGGTGTGGAACCTAAAGAAATAGAATGTTAGGTGGATGTACTCTAAGGTACTGCAAGGCATTCTCCAGTCTCAATAAATACAAGACTCGATTTTGCTCTTAGCTATGCATGAGTCAATTACAAATTGACTTTTTACGTGAAGCTCCTGATAGCTACAGTGTTTAGAGGACAGGCACTCCGTCTTATCACAGAGCTGACCTTTGCTCCTGATTTCAGGTATGGCTTCAGAAAATGAAACAAAATATTCAGAAAAATGAGAGTTGTTTCAAATCTGAGAGCTACGTATCTTTTGCAACTTAGAACTGTTAAAAGAGTATGACCTTCATCTTTCTCTGATGCTTTCTACTGTCTTCATTAATAGGCACTTCTGATGTGGCACTTACTCTACAGCAATTTAAGAGACGAGTTCAGCTCTCGGATAGTAACAATTACTATCTGAATTACAATTACTAGCTGAAGCTGATGTTACAACTGTCAAGAGCTTGGCAACATTAAGATTTTTTTTGGGCGCACAAAGGAATCCAACCACTCTGGCTGCCAGAACCTCAGAAAGGAAACAAAAGAATCTAGCAGAGACTCCTGGGGGAGCACATAGGTATCAGGGCAAGGCAAATACAGGAGGGATTTGGCTCTGCATCAAGTATTAGCTAAACCCCTGAACAGCTGCATGTACCCACTGAGCGCTCCCTCCTGTGTTTTATTATTCTTGGATTGCCCTACCACTACCACTCTAATTTACAATGATCATGAAATGTCTTCTGCAACATATTTACACCCTGTAGAAATCATCCAATGAGCAAAGTGCCCAGCAGAACAAAGCACATTTTTATTCAGGAACTAGTTCAGACTTCT